AAAAAATTAAGGAACCAGTTTTGGGGGGGAGGCCCAGGACCTCTATGGAACTGGTCCTATCGAGCTTGCGGCTTGGCGCAAGATGCCCTTTTTAAGTTCTAAGAGAGGACTGTGGATCACTGGCAGAGCATACGCTTTGCATGCCCAAAGTCTGTCACCCTTAAGGCTGCCAACTCTGGGCTGGGAGATTCCTGGAGACTTGGGGGTGAAGCCTGGAAACGATGGGGCTTGGGAAGGGTGGGACCTCAACAGAGTATATAATGTCATAGATTCCACCTTCCAGTGCAGCCATTTTCTCCAGCGGAACTGATCACCATGGCCTGGAGATCAGTTGTCATTCTGGATCTCCAGTCCTCACCTGTAGGTTGGCAACCCTACACAGCCAAAATATCTCAGTTGGAAAACATAGGTAAGCCTCGTGTCTTAAGCCCGGAAAGGCTGCTCCCAGTTGCAGCTAGACAGTATCGGGCTTGAAGGGACCAAGAGGCTGAATCAGTAGGACAGCTTCCAATGCAACCCACTTTAGATGATAAAGAGGAAAGAGGGAAACAAGGGGGACTGGAAGACCTGAGGAACACTGGTGGGATGGAGGAAGAGGCGGGGCAAAGGGAAGCTGGAGGAATCACATCCTTTTGCTGACCTTGCCCGGATCAGGTCCTCCCGGGGCTCGCAGGAGCGGCTTCTCTTCCGTGATCTGTACTTCCTGGAGTTCTGTCATGGCACCTGGAGCAAAAGACACAAACGAAAAGTTCTGTGTTGGCTGATGGCTTTTTGAATCCTGATAAACCACGTCTTAGGAATGGGATTCCGTTTCCAGTCAGTCCTAAAAGATGAGTCGGATCCAACCAGCTTTCTCACTCAGTTTCCCTTCTAACTACAGTCTTTGTCTTACATGACTTTCCCCATTTGGGTCCCATGATCTCCAGCACAGCCTTTTGGGTGGTCAGAGGGGACCCTTCCTGCTATTTTCACTGTAGAAAAGCAGGCTGGATCCAACCTGGCATGTGTTATCTCAGGGCCAGTTCACACATACATCACTGGACAACTACACCATCAAGTGACAAAAGAGCCATTATGAAACTAAAGATCACAAATGGAATTCTGTAACCTCTCCAACGCAATCCTTTCTGGATGTATCAGTTCACATATTCACTAGACAGCCCTCTAGTGCAGGGAATCAAGTGAAACAGATAAGATGTGTGACCCAGCTCACAATCTTGGCCTTTATGTAGCAAGAAGATAAACACCATCCTTGATCCAATGCATTTTCACCTTTAAGTCCCTTTCACCTTTAAGGACCCAAAGTAGAACACAATCCATTTACTACCAACTGCCAATTTTGAACCCCTGTAGGTTTTGAATTACAGGTGTAAAAACTTCTAGAACTATTTCTCAAGGAATAGGTAGTTACGTTTCTCCCCAAAATGTTCTTGAATTGTGTACATTTCCTTTCCAAAGATACTCAAGAATTTGTTTTAAATGCCATAACCTCTGCAAGATTGGTCTTTGCTAATCACTGGAAAAGGAATGTAAATCCAAATAAAGGGGAATGGTTGAAGAAACTAAAGGAATGTATACAATTGAGTAAACTAACCATTATGTTGCATAGCAAAAAGTCAGATAACGTTAACTTGACTAGTACGATGAAACAAACTTAATAACTTATATATAATTTATTGAAAGAACAGAAGATGAATTTGTAAAGGTTTGCATTCAACTTTTTTTTTTACTGAATAACAAATTATACTTTAAAAATACAGATGTAGAAAAAAAGAATATACAAATAACTTGTTTTAAGCACCACTTGTGAAAACAACCAGTCTATATACTACTCATAGTTTTATCATTTGCAGATTTTGATTAAACTTTTATAATGGCTGATCCAACAACAACCTTGTGAGGGAAGACATGCTCATTTACCAGTGACAGAGACAAAAATGTCAACTTTCCAAGGATGCATGGGAGCTGTAAAAACATTTTCAAAAATGTTCTGCTTAGGCTGATAGTATGTAATGAGTAAATGTTTTGACAATGTGCTTATTTGGTATGTTTTACTCCTTTCCTCTTTCCAAGGTGTGGCAGTTGCTTTTAATTCATTTTAAAAACTCACTAAATGTTAATTTTTGTTATCCTCCACTCTTTGTAGGCTAAATATTTGGGGAAGATAGACTTCAAATTATTTCCACCTCATTTGTGTATGGCACGCTTGCTATTTTTGTAGCCGCAGAAAAGAGTAAGAGTCCAGTCGCGCCTTAAAGACTAACAACATTTGTGGTAGGGTATGAGCTTTCATGAGTTACTGCTCACTTCTTCAGAAGTCACGGCTCACCTCTTGCTACTTTGCGTTGTTCATGGACTGTAATTTGTTTCGCGCAGACCCTATAGCTGCTTTTGCAGGGCGGGGGTCCCCCCCCAGAAGAAATCCATCTGCCATTTTACAATGTAGAGGAACTGAGGCTGAAAGAGAATGGTCGTCTCAAGGCAGCACAATGAGTCCACAAGAGAAGTGGACAGCCCGGGTCTCGTACACCCAAATCCTTTGCTTATGTAACTTGATGTGAATGAGGCCTCATTTCAATAGCTATTCCCTGGCATGAGGCCAGGCCTTGCCCGACAGCACAAGTAAACAACACAGTTGCTTGGGGCGTCAATATTTTAGGGAAGGGCGGGGAGGGTATGTGTACCAGTGAAACAGTGCCCAGTGGGGGGGTTAGGACACAACTCTCAGATAGGCCTTGTTGCGTGTGCATGCTGGGAAATTTTGTGTCCCATAACTGGGACATTTCAAGTGATCTGGGGGGCGCGTCTCCCAATTGACACAACAACAGAATGGCCTGGCAGGACTGTAGAGCTGGCTTTCCTCACAAGCTGAGGCTTCCTTCCAGGCGGGGCTTCTAAGAAATGTAGGGGGAAATCAGTCATTTTCTGAGAACCAACAAGGCACTCCATCAAGCCTCCTGCCAAGCTCAAGTGCCTTGTAGTGTTTGCATTAGGAACTTGATAAGGACAGTTATTATTTTCTTCACATTTATTAAGCTCTGAAGCTTTTACTACACCTGCTTTCCACCAATACACAGACAATTCCTTAACTTTCCCCTTTCCCTCATTAAGTGCCATGCCAAGGTAAAACCAGAGTAGGGAAATTTTTTTTTCCCCTTCAGTTTCTAAACATTTGAGAATGACTCCATTGGAAAAATCTAGAGCGAATCTTGGGTTGGCAAAGATAAACTGCTCACATTATTGGTGTTTGGAGCACTACCACGTTTTGGAGAGGGGTTATCAACCACAACCGATGACTTCTAATCAGATATCTCTCCCCCCCACCCCCGTTCGTAAAACAGTAAAAATAAAATCAAAGTCTAGCAGTACTTTAAAGACTGACAACATTTATTTCAATATGAACTTTGGTGAGTCACAGCCTGCTTCCTCAGATATGTGGAAGTAAGCTAAAAAAAAAAGCCAGACAGATTTTACATAAAAGCTCAACATTATATTTTTAAAAGGTTATTTTACAAAAAGTTCTTAGAAGAGTAGAAGAGCAGGTTTTATAAACTGTTCTTTTCTACTGTAAGGAGTCTCAGAGTGACTCATAATCACCTTCTCCTCCTCACCACAACTAACACCTTGTGAGGCAGGTGGGGATGACAGAGTTCTGCGAGAACTGTGACTGGCCCAGGGTCACCCAGCTGGCTTCATGTGGAGGAGTGGGGAATCAAACCCCATTCTCCAGATTAGAGTCTGCTGCTTTTAACCAGTTTGGTGTAGTGGTTAAGTGTACGGACTCTAATCTGGGAGAACCGGGTTTGATTCCCCACTCCTCCACTTGCACCTGCTGGTGTGACCTTGGGTCAGTCACAAGCTCTGGCACAGCTGTCCTTGAAAAAGAGCAGATTGTGTCAGAGTTCTCTCAGCCCCACCCACCTCACAGGGTGTCTGTTGTGGGGAGGGGAAGGGAGAGGAGTTTGTAAGTCGCTCTGAGACTCCCAGTGAAGGGAGGGGTATAAATCCAATCTCTTCTCTTCTTCTTCTATATCATGCCAGCTCTCTTAGATGGTGTAAATCCATGCTCCGGGTGTGGTGCCGCACCTCCTAAGCCGATTGGGATGCAACCCTCTTGCTCAAAGGCAACAGAGTATTCCCAGCCAGATAGGCTTAGGTGTCATACACCAAGCTTGGTAATACCTGAAGGGAGTACATACATCACCAAGCATGACAATACTGAATTAGAATGGCTGGCTTTACAAGGGGGTTGTTAATGGTGAACAGAGCCATCAGTGGCCACTAGTTATGGCGACTAAAGGGAATCTCCACGTCCAGAGGCAGTAATCCTCTGAACGCAAGTGCTAGAAAGCAGCGTCAGGGGAAGTCCTTGGCTCCTATGCTCTGTTAGTTAGGCCGACAGGGCAACTAGTTAGTCACTGTGTGAAACAGTATGCTGGAACAGATGGGCCGCTGGTCTGATCCAGAAGTTTCTTTGTATGTTCTTATGACTGTGCGCTTAGAAAAGATGTGAGGTGCTATCAGTGAAAAGCGAACAGCAACCTACACACAACAGGGTGGTTTATCTTCTGTGTTCATTTTTTTAAACCAAAGGTCAAGAGAAACCAAATTTACCAAGGACAGCTGGATTTTGTGAGAATAAGCAAATTCACAGACAACTGGTTTATTTTTGTGTAACTCATTCAGCACAGGGGCAAAGAGTTAGCTCGGTAACTGAAGTTCCAGCACTTGGGCCAGTGAAATACACTGTACCCATGCCTCAGGTTCTAAAGTTTTCCCAAGCCTAGTTGCTTCTCACGCTTACTTCCATGCTAGCATTTCTTAGGAGGTCTATGCAGTGGCTGAAATATTAAATTCAGATCTGTGGGACATAAATGTTATCCCTATACAACTTAATTTAAAAAAAAAACCAAAAAAACCTAACCTAAATGTTTCTATTTAGATGAGAGGTTTGTGTTTTGTGTTTTGTTTTTTAAAAAATCAATATAGTAGGTTGAATCCAGAACAAACAAGGATTTCTGCCCACATGGCATGACCTTCTCAGCATTCCCCACCTTGTATCAGATCAAAATATCCCTCTAGATCCTGTTCCTGGGGGGACAGGTGACCCCCAAGATCAAGATTTCAGGGAGAATTTCAGGATGTCATGGGAACAGGGTGCCCAGAAAGTTTCCCACTGCTAGCAAAACTCCTTGCACTCATGGAAATGCTGTGCTGGATCCAACCCTCTGTCTTAAAAAATAATAATAAGGTAAAGGTTCCCTTGCTCGAAAGCCAGTCGAGTCCAACTCTAGGGTTGCGGTGCTCATCTCCGTGTCGAAGAGCCAGCGCTGTCCGAAGACGTTTCCGTGGTCATGTGGCCGGCATGACCAAACACCAAGGCGCACGGAACGCTGTTCCCTTCCCACCGAAGTGGTACCTATTTATCTACTTGCAATTTCTTGCTTTCGAACTGCTAGGTTGGCAGGAGCTGGAACTAGAGACGGGAGCTCACTCCGTCATGCGGCAACTCGGGTCTCGAACTGCTGAACTACTGACCTTCCACAGCCTGCAGTTCAGCGTCTTAACCACTTGAGCCCTTAAATACAGACTTTTTACAGTCTACACTTACAACCCTATAAAACTAAGTCATGATAATCTGCCAAACTATGAGGAATTAAAGGCTGTTTTCAGTTTTTTGGGGGGGAAATCACGGAGAAAAACATGTTTTCTGTGTCGAAATGTTAAATGCATGGACACATGTCAATTATATTCAGATGAACTTCCTAATGGACCTGGAGAATAGCACATCAGCACAGGTGCCACCTTTTCTGTATCACCGAAGAGAAAATATGGGTAATCTTGTGCTCCCATTTGATACTCCCCAACTGTGTTCTGCTACATGCTCTTTTCCAACTATGAATATTTATGACTCAGTTAACCAAACAGCATGGAATTCCATGTTCCATTTAATTGAGGAACACTATTTTATCAGGGAATTACCAGATATTTATTGAATGTTCTGGACAGTTACTTCTGAGTAAATATATACACGATGAAGCCATAAATATTTTTTCAGTAGGACTGGATCCCACTTCAGTGAGCACAGGAGCCTTCAAGTTAACTGATCTTGCTTAGTGTCCTTGCATCTATACAGCGCGATCCAATCAGAAAACCACCTTCTTTATCTAAGCGCAATGCAAAAGGCACATTGGTTGCCTCAGCTCAATGGCTTTGGATTATGTCCTGAGATTGTACCAGAGCTCTGTTTAGTTGCTTTCATTATTACAGCATCCAGGTATTATGTATGAATTTAAAAACGGGAAGCTTGATTTAAATCCATTTCTCCCCCCTGGGTGATTTAAGTCAATTCACTGACCCCATTTAGGAAAAAATGTCATGTGTGAAATGGGCTTCAGCCACAAAGCTCATTAGGTGGGGTGGGTGAATCACGTTCTCTCTCAAGGTGATTTCACATGGGTTTGTGTCGCCACTTGCTCTCTCAGGATCTGATGACTGGCAACTGAATGTGTGAACTGCCTCCGCTGAAAAGTCTCCAGAGGTGATGTACGTTCTACCCGTAGAATGCTCATTCACACGTACAAACTGTTACGTGAGGCTGCAGTCATCTCATAAGAAAACATGCAAACTGGCACTTCAGCCTAAGCTATCTTGCAGGGTTGCCTTGGTAAAGATGAAACAAGATAAGGATTCCGAGACCCATTGTTATGACTCAGGCACGCTGTTGAATACAATGCACGGGATAGGGGTGTGTCCACGTACACACTGCCAACATTCACAGATCTTGATGAATCTCTGAGCTGAAAAACTGACATTCCTGCTGCCCTGGGGAACCCTGAACCGCAAAGGGATGGATGCGCACTGCATCTAGCCCCCCTCCCCCAAATGAATATTGCTCCTAAGAACCTGACCCCCCTGGAGCCCTAACCTTGCTCCTAGGTCAAGCATGGGTAGCATTGAAGCAAGGACACAACGCAGTGTTCCCTCTAAGCTGAGTTAGTGTGAGCTAGCTAACAGCTTTTTAGCCTCCGGCTCACAGATTTTTGACTCAGCTCAGGAAGGATGACTCCAGAGCAAACTAATTTATGCAGCAGCCAAATGGCTGGCTCACAGCTTTAATGCCACCAGCACACAAAGTAGAATTTTTGCTCACAAGACTCCACAGTTTAGAGGGAACATTGGACACAAGTGCTTCAGGCATGAACTATGGGACTCTGTCCTCATTAGGACAGCATCTACCCCAAACTATTGGAATACTCATTATGAAGAGACTCCCGCCCAGTGAGACCTGGGAGATGAAATTATTCCTCCGGGCATTCCACTGAGGCAATCTTACTGGGCCTACTATCGGTTTCTTCGATCATCATGCCAGGGTGCCAGTGTAGTAAATTGTTTATAGGATATCTGTATTTGGCTTATATTTTGTGTCTGTGTTGCTAACTGCCCCGAGCCCGAATTGCTGGGGAAGGGGCAGGATAAAAATCAAACGAAATAAATAAGTGAATGTTAGATTACTTGAGAACACGTGGATGCCTGTGCATGAGGGATTTAAAAAATAATTAAAAATAATTGGAATTATCTTTCAAGAACCGGGGGGGGGGAGTGCGAGGGGGGCGGTGGATGACTAAGCATCCCCCCTCCCTTACCAACTCAGCTTCCTTGCCAGTGCTGGAAAGAGAACTCCGGAGTTCTGGCTCCAAGCCTTCCGTCTCTCCTCCCATCCCTTGGTGACAATCCCATCGCTGGCAGTGGGGCTGCCTCCCCAGAGCCCGGGGGGGGGGGGAAGCAGGCAGTCTCCCCTCTTTCCCAGCCTCGCTTTCTCCCAGGTGCCACGGCTAGCTTCCACTCTGGCCTCTGTCCAAGGATCCCCCTCCTGGGCCATAAATAGCAGCTTTCATCACCCTGACCCCAGGCAGGGATCCAGTTCACCCGGGGCTCCCTGCCACTCTGGGGCCCTTAATGGGGCCTGCGCGGAACAGGCAGCCAGAAGATCATCCCTTTTGTCGCCTCCAAGGAGCAAAGGTAAAGGTAAAGGTTCCCTTGCTCGAAAGCCAGTCGAGTCCGACTCTAGGGTTGCGGTGCTCATCTCCGTTTCCAAGCCGAAGAGCCAGCGCTGTCCGAAGATGTTTCCGTGGTCATGTGGCCGGCATGACTAAACACCAAGGCACACGGAACGCTGTTACCTTCCCACCGAAGTGGTACCTATTCATCTACTTGCAATGTCTTGCTTTCGAACTGCTAGGTTGGCAGGAGCCGGAACTAGGGACGGGAGCTCACTCCGTCTTGCGGCAACTCGGGTCTCGAACTGCTGAACTACTGACTTTCCACAGCCTGCAGTTCAGCGTCTTAACCACTTGAGCCACCGCAGCTCCATCCAAGGAGCAAAGGCATACATCAAAGACACCCTTGGCAGATGTCATACCCAGGGGACAACCCCCCCCCCAGCAAAATCAGGGGTCCCAGGTGGCTCAAAAGGAAGCACAGGGGATTCTGGGCTCCTAACCCCACCCTTTCACCCTGCCACATAGGCAAGCCTTTCTGGGATTGCCACACACACACCACTCCCTGCCTGGGCTCTGGCGACTTTACCAGCTGAATCACAAGCCCAACAGGTGCTGCTTTCCTGGCATGGAATTGCACTTGTGGAAGGGAGTAGTACCTGTTGAATGCACGCCCGCTTGGCAGCTACTGAAGGCGCAGGAGCTTGCCAGGAATGAAGTTTCCATCCAACAAGCCAGCACAGCAACTAACAGCATGTGAAGGTACTGCAAAGTATTTAAGCTACTCAAAGATTGCTTGACGGTGAGGGATTTTCTCCCTCCTCTACCACCACTCTCTCTCTCTCTCTCTCTCTCTCACACACACACACACACAGGCTAGCATGGTCCAGGATCCCTAGATCTCAACCATTCTCCCATTTCCAGAGCCACTCCTCAGCCTTAAGAAATGTGAAAGGTGTGCCACTGAGCATGTGTAAAGTTAACTTCTCCACACCTCTATATCCCACACCGTGTCAAAAGCAAACCTGAGCTCCAGCAACTCTCATTTTTGAAACGAAGCGTCAACATCCATACCACCAAGCAAGACGCAGGCTGTCCTGTGCATGTGCCACCCACCCCCCAACCCTGGTGGGGTCTTTAGTAGTCCAAGAGAGGCAAGGAAGGCAAAACCCGGCCAGCTGGCAGTCAGTGTCTGCCTTGGCGGGTCACAAGTCCTACACAATCCTCATCCATGCGCTCCAACTCAGCGCCCGTGTGCACTCCAACTTAGGAGAAAAATAACATCATTTATCCACCTCCTGGGTGGGTGTGTCTCTTGACTGAGATGGGGCTCTGTCACAGCTGCCCATCCAACATGGGCCCCCAATGCCTGCTCTGCTACACACTGGTTGCTGTCCAGCCTTTTGGCTTAGAAGGTAAGTAACCGGGCAAGCAGACTTCCTTGGTTCTGTCCTTCACAACGGGTGGGATGAGGCGGTTTGCCGGAGAGGTAGGCCACCAGGCAGGAAGCTCTGCCACAATGCTGGGGACAGGCTCTGGGTGGTGGGTAGGTCCCCGATATTTTCAATCCTTCCTCCCCTCCCCCCAAGTATCTGGCAAAGAAGCGGAGCACTGTTGTGGCATCTTGGAGGTGTGTACCTGTGTGTATGTTATTAGTCCACACAACGTAGGCAGACAGAGAGCTTCCAAGTGACTGCAAGTTCAAACACAGGGAGTTAACTCCATGCCAGGAACCTTTGGCACACGGTGTGCCCGCAGCCCTTGGCGCCCACACCAAATGCACTGGGAAGATAGGCGCACACCTCCAGCCAAGATGACTTCTGCCACTGGAACCTGAGGCAAAATGATTGCTCCACGCAGAGGGGTCTCCATTAGAGCACAGGGCCTACCCTTGATCCCAGGCTGGCAGATCCTTTGCTCGCTTCTCAGGGGCAGGGATAAAAAGCCAGGAGTCCTTGACCAGAAATCTCCAGACTTCACACCTCAGCAGGAGTCCAACCAGACCCCCTGGAGTCCTGGGGTGACCCCTGCCCCCCACAGCTAGCTCCCTCTGCCGCTAATCCAGTTTCCCTCCCCAAACCCAGGCGTTATGCTCTGCGTACTCCCCCCCCAACCAATGTTCCCTCTAAGCTGTGGAGTCTTGTGAGCAAAAATTCTACTTTGTGAGCGACTGGCATTAAAGTTGTGAGCGAGCGATTTGGCTACTGCAGAAACTAGTTTGCTCTGGAGCCCTCCTTCCTGAGCGAAGACAAGAATGTGTGAGCCAGAGGCTAGAAATCTGTGAGCTAGCTCACACTAACTCAGCTTAGAGGAAACACTGCCCCCAACTAAGACATCAGGATTCTTAGACTCACCTGCCTTTTCGAAGGAACCCAGCAATGCTGGGTCATTCACTGCCCTGACATAGAACCCAGGAGTCCGGGTGACCAGACCAGCCTCCTGCACCCGGGGGTAACAAGGGGGGGGGAGGCCAAGCCCTCTCTGCTCCCAGCTCCACCTGCTCTCTCCTCTCCACACCTGTTCCAGAAAACCCAGGCATCCACACACACCCCAACACCAGCCACCCTCTTGGACTGAGCAGCCTTGACTCTGAGCCGCACACCCCTTCCTGGCTCTCCCACAAATAGGGCAGGCCCCCAGCAGCATTCGGCCAGCGCACCTCTTCTCCCCTCCAGGGCAGCCCCTCCAAAAAGAACCCAGGAACCCGAGCAGGCGGGCGGGCAGGCAGGCAGGCAAGCAAGCAGGGACCTCCCCCTTTCCTCTAGCTGCAAGCCCACTTAATCCCCTTTCTCTACGCGGTGGGCAAAATCCCTCGGCCGACCGACCGACCCCCCCCCTTCCCCTGCCCTCTTT